TTAAGCCTGAAGATTGGCGCGCAGACTTCTGGTCACACAGCAGCGCAGATAACAATCTCGCCTAGCTAATAGCTAACGAAAGGCAAAGAGAGATTTAAGACGAACATCAATAATTTGGAGACAAATGGACTTATTTGCATTCATAAGCACTGAGCTGGTTTCCTGATACATTTCATCTGCAACGAGAAACTGTCAAACACTAAAAAGTTGCGAAGCCAGCTTCTCGTTTGAATTTTCCCATTCAAAATTCGAACAAGAAACCCGCGAATGAGAAGCTGACTTCAGCCTTGTAAAAAATCAGACGTTGAGAAACATATTTTACAAGAAATTATTCTACTTTTGGAAAATTTTCCTGCTGATGATGCAAGAAAAGCTGCTATAGCTAAGCTAAAGCTTAAAGCAGAGCAAAGTAAGTCTGCATTTTCATTTACATTCAATTTGTTACTCTATACTAACACATTAGCACATGCTGAGACATATACAGCCAAGACGGAAAAATGGACATAAAATGTTGTGGCTCCCAAGATGGTTTGATTTTTGCGGAAAGGACAAAATGGCTCTTCTTAACATTTGCGTTGCCGAAGCCCTGACCTAGAACAAGACATGCATATTAAATCCAACCTTAAAACATATTGCTGCATTTCTTACTAGACAATAATATTATAAATACAAAAATTAACTTGGTTATTTTCTTGTTTTTCAGCAGAAAAAATTATAGAGGTTTTCTTGTGTTGTAATGCAAAAAATTCCAAGTGGGCACTCATTTGTTAAGATCTTGTAGGCAAGGCTGTCCCATCACCACTGTTATACTGCTATTAGCAACAGAACTACGAGGTGATTATAACAGATATTTCTAGTGTGACTGTCAATGGGGAGAAGACAAAGTGCTTAGATTTAATTTCTCATTGCTTTGAAATTACCTTTTAATCTTAACATGTCTATCGCAATGCAGTTGATTACTGATTAATTAGTATTACAAGCAAATAATTAATTTTGCTTGTAATAGTAAGTAGCACAGAGGTTTTGAAGTTAATTCAGGTCAGTTCTCAAAGTCTCTAAACTGCAAGTGTGAATTGAGACTGAAATCATTGCAAGTCAAGTCTTTGGTCAGTAATGTTAGTTTAGTATTGTTATTAGTATTGTGTGTATTGTGTTGTGTATAAAGTTAACCCTTATTATAAACCTGTCAGGCTCACCGTAGCTTCACATAATGGGCCTTTCATTATGGAAAAAACATTTAGTCAGGACAGATGCAGAACAATTTAAAACAGTTTAGTCTTTAGTTTGTATAGCACGTATGCTAGCTAGCTAGCATAATAGCTAATCTGGTTGGAGTTTTAAATTGTAAAGGGATATGATCTGTAACTAAAACTTCAGACAGATTATGTGACAGTGTAAGATAGATTACCTGTTGTCCTAGCTGGCATACTTGCAATCCATATCACATGCAAGGCAACCATTTCAAATTGTTTGCCTCCTTTCTCTTTTACATTTACTCCATGTAGCGCTTAAGTTCTCTTCATCAGGCTGAAAGTTTTTTTGTAATGAAAGGCTTGTTACTTGACGCCATATCAAACCTGATGCCACTGAGAGCTGCAGGAGAATGGCATTGCAGTAAAGGCTGGGCATGAAGGTAGCAAAACTTAGATGCAAAGTCATGCACATAAGGTTGAAAAGGATGCAAGTTCCCATCTCTGCTAAGTAGTTTTAGTAACAGTTTTAGATCATTCTTGACCTAAGACACCTACACACAGCAAATGATTTTTCTTTTATTAAAAGATTGGATGAGATCTAGGGACAGCTCTATATCTCATTTTTGGCACTGCAGTCTCTGGAATGCAGGGTTTAAGAGTGAAGAGTGGTGAAGAATGACCTATAAAAATCTCTTGTTTGAAAGTGCTACTTTCTCCCCTCCCCTGGCAGTCTGCCATGTTGGATCTGGTGGATATTTTTGCTCCAGCCTCTGAGGCGCCCCCTGGTGCCAACCCATGGGATATGTCTGGAGCTGGTGCCCAGGCCCAGGCTGCAGGCCCGCTGAGGTCTGACCTGTGGGATTCTATGGGTAAGGTCTTCTGCATTCTTTCTACAATGCATGGTTTCCACCCTGTTTAACTTTGAACCTCCACAAACCATAAATTTGCTTTATCAGTGTATTTGTTTTTAACAAATCATATTTTCACATAGAACCTAGCTCCTCGAGTCGCAGTATTGGTAGCCCTTGGATGGCCCCTATGGGATCCAGTGCTCACCATCAGCCGTGGGACCATCCGCAGCGCCCTCCTGACCCATGGGAAACTCCACAGAATGTCACCAGTCCTGTTCCCCAAAGTCAATCATGGGTTTCACCTGCTCCAGCTGGTATAAACATGCTATTTTACTAACAATTACTAACAAACCTGTATAAAACATATATATCAGAGATGTTGTTGTTTTACTCATGTCATTGTGTGGCTTGTTTTAGCAGCCACAGGAGTGGATCCCTTCTCCCCCCCTACAGCAGACAATAAAGGTGCTGCTAGCACTGTCATAAGCTCATCTCCGCGTCCTGGGAGTCCCTCGGGTAATCAGAATTAGTTATTTGACCTGATGTAATTAATTTAGCTCAATCAGAATCTTACTGACTTTTTATATTGGGTAATAATGAAGATTATTTGTGTTTATTGTAAGATGGAGATCTTTTTGATGAGGCCATGGATGGAGGTCAAATGGACGTTAATGGCCGTAGTGAGGAGAGTCCAGAGTTATTTGATTTGTCCCGCTTGGGAGAAAGTCTAGCAGAACCAGCACCTCGAACCTGTCGTACTCCACAAGCCTTCCTGGGCCCTGCTGCTGCCTCGCTTGTCAACCTGGATGCTTTGATCCCCTCGAATCCTGCTCCTAAGAACTTAAACCCATTTTTAGCAGGTGAGACCAAGTGGAACGTTACAGCATGCAGTTAAAAATTATAACTTAAGTTTGCTTGGACGAAAAATATTTTGAATTTTGAATCAAACTAATGCCCCAGCCATCTGCTAAACAGAGCACAACTGGACATGCTCTGGACAAGGAGGACTTTGTTTCCTTCTATCATGTAGTGCAATACTAAACAATCTGTTAGCTGTATAGCTCACACAACAGAATTGGGCAGAATTGGGAAGTGTGCTTCTCCAGTCACTTTCAACTATCTAGTGACATTGTATGAGCTGAAAAAGAAGAGGTGGCCAGCTCCATGTGTCGCAGAGGAGACGTGCTAGTCCTCCTTCTGTTGAGTTGCTAGGTTCTGTGTGATCGGGGCAGGACTAGCTAGGAATTTCCAGTAACTTAATTGGGTGGTGGTGTTTTTTTAATAAAAAGCTTGGATAAAGTCTCCTTCTTTCTCTTTCCCTTTAGGTATGAGTGCTCCCTCAACCACCAATCCGTTCCAAAACGAACCGCCCCGGCTCACACTTAATCAGATGCGTCCCAGCTCCACATCCCCTGCTCCCACCTCCCTGCCATACAGTGCCTCTCTGCCCCTGCCTGCCAGCAACCAGCCTTCCTCTTTACCCAGCTCCCTCACTCAGCCTGCCCAGGGACCCATGGACATGCCTGGAAACTTGCCTCAACCACTGCTACCCTTGGCATCGGCATCCACACTCGGACAGCAAGACCACAGTCAGAACCCTTTCCTATGAGGGCCAGTGTGAGCAGCGCCAAAACTTAGCCCTAACGTAAGCTTGCTGGCCTGAGTAATAATGCCTGCAATTAAGTGACAATTAAACCACAGCCTTGGTTGAAAACTGGAATTCCCCATTTAAAGACACTACTGTTTTATATTGGCTTAACTCTTTTGATAGCCTTCTGGTTTTGCTTTTTGCTACTGCTGCTTATCGTCCTTGACATAAGATTCAGCTTTATGGGAGGATCCAGCTTTTATAGTAATTCACAAGCTAATGACACAAGTAAAGGAAGTTATGAATTCATGATCTAATCCTACGTTCCTTCCGATCCTCACAGTTTGCTTCTTAGGACTAGCTGTAATGACCATTAACATACACTAATTTACAGTACACTATTAAGCCTAGGTCAAAAACCTGCTGTTTGCTTTCTAGAGCTACTTTAGTGTTGCTCCATTAGTCTAAAATGCCCGAGGACTTCCTGCCCCACTTTCCTATTACACACTTATGCCTGATGTCTATGAGTTCAATAGCATGGGAGCTAGCCAACAAACTAATCCAGTTAATGAAACAGTCCGTCATTCAGTCTCTGACCGGTGGTTCAGATGCAAAGCACCACTGTTACAGTGGCCAGTTACTTGGGAACAAAATCTCTGTTTATTGTTTTTGTTTTTGTAATATTTAAATGAGCACTGAAATTGGCTGCTAAATTAACATACTTCAATAAGGGAATGGATTTACTGTGGAATTTGGACTGAATAATAGCAACATGCTAGCAATGTACGAATGGGAGACTGTTACATATGAAACATTTCTCATCAAATATAGGGATGAAAAGTGCAACTTTGATCTGTTGCTTGTTTTGACAGTGTATATTTATTTTTCTTCATTGGTATGTGTGTCATGTGCTTCATCACTTGCTTCCTGAATCTCAAAATACCGTTCAATAGCTAGAATGTTTCAAACTTTGGAAAAATCAGCGGCTTTTCTCATTACACACTGTTCTAGACCGACAACACAACATAATATTCAACCTAATTTGAAAGCTGGCCCAAAATGTTTAAAACCGCATCTATCTGAACATAAATCGACAAGATTTGCTGTTTGGTTGTGGATCATACGTTGCATTATTATAATCCACATGATAAGTTAGAAATTCATCACCTCATTCTCCTCATATCACCTTGCATGGACATAAGAGTGGAAACTGATGATTGCATTTCTGTCAAGAGAAACAAAATTACAGCTATAGTATGAGGAATATCACATCAAGCTATTATGTGAGCTTACAATCATATCATATCCCATGTTCCATCCTTCTCCCAGGTGTTTGTAGGATGTGTGTGGTAGTGTTCTATCTGACAGTATCTACCATTTATTTGTTTTTCCATACTTGTTGAGTTCAGGGGCCTGTCTCAGGGTTTATGGTTTAACTAGCCAACTTTAGGTTTAGTTCAATCTAACCCTGGATATTCTGTCTCATGATGGTGGATTTTTTTCTGGGCTACATCGCCAACCGGCTTAGGAGCAGGTTCAGTTAGAGATTTCAGATTATAAACAGCTCTTTGACCAGTTAGACTGAACATCTGCCCAATCAGGGCCAACCTTCAGACAGAGGTGGACCTTTTGGTTCTTTTCGGTTCCTTTTTTTTTTATTTTTGTAAATATAAAACATAGTTATCAAGAACGTAAAGCAGCTATTACTCCATTAAGCACCAACTAACTGCAGCAGTAGCAACATGGTTGCTTTTTACTGTTAAAAATGCTTTACTTTCTACATATTTATATAGTATGATTTCTTTTTCCTTCTTTGAGAGACTAGCTGCTTGATCCTCCTGTTTCACACGATTGGCTGTTAGTCATGGCGCTTTCATACGCATGTGCACAAGGATTTATCATAGCTTGAGTACGTCAATGTGAACTAACAGACAACGCTGATAACCCCCGGAAATGAGTTTACCACGATTGCATTTCTTAGGTTTTGGGAATCTAAAACTTTGTCAGGGTTCGAGTTGAACATGATTTGTGAGACAGGCCCCAGGTCAGTCAGGTTGTGTTGAATCCAGCCAGTTAAGCACTTCCTGAAGGCCCTCACCAGAGCGAGCACTAAGCTCCAAAGTTGTGATTGACTGAGGAGCAGAAGCAATAATATCATCCATCCTGAAAAGGGATTTCATTTCACCAAGAGACATAGTGCATGGAAGGTCCCTAGAAAGACAAAAAAAGAGAAAATGTTTGCAATTAGACTTATGTAACACTGAAATTCATCTCACCGGTGCTGTACTGTTATGACAGACAAGTTTAATTAATTCTCTCTGGTTTTACTTCAAAAGCACAAGCCATAGACAGTGTCTTAGGAGTCTGACCTTTTGTTGAACAGCACAAGCACAGAGGCAGTCTGAAGCGGCTCAGCAGCAAGAACAGACAGCAGCTGGATACAGGACGAGGAAATCTGTGTGATGTTGGCAGAGTCCACCATAAACTGAAGACAAGAACACAGCAGAAGTTTATTTCTACAAAAGACATTTGGAATGTATGAAACTCAAGGATTCTTCTCAATGTTGTTTTTAAAGTGGTATTAAAAGAAAACAGTTAAGATAAATGCGCAGCACCTAAAAATACATGCTTTTTACTGTCCAAAGTTAATAAATTATATACTGACATTCTTAATGTTGAATCTGCTGTAAAGATATTAATATTCCCATTCTGTGTTATCACCTACATAGTTTTTCATACAGCCCAGCCACTAATGGTTAGTCAAGGAGACTTGACTGTTATTACACAGCACATTAATATCATGCTTGTGTATTAATATCAGGTTTTCTTAACACTTACAATAACAGATGTACAGTCTATGAAGTAGCTCGGCCAGATGGGGCCCATGCAGCCTCCTAACTCTCTGACGGTCACCCTTCTTTTCCTCAGCGTCAGGTCCGTGAGGTTTGTGCCAACCTGTTGGAAAAGGCAGAAGTTTCTTATAAATGAGAATCAACCATGCATTTTGTGTAGGGTGAATATTTTTGACAGACTGTTCTGTTGTTTGCCACAAGGTGTCCTACTTGACCTGAATTTACAAGTCTCACCCTATTCAGTTAGTGAGCTATGTGCCATCTGACTTGGCTAAACAGACAACGTTAGCTTACCGTGGGCAGAGTAACTGGTGGTTCACCCAAATCTGCCCCATCTCGCTGGCACAGCTATATTTCCAGCTAAAGAAACCATGTTAGGATGTTGAAAGTTTAGTTAAAGGGGAATTTTCAAAATGTCTGAATAATTCAGTCCTTGCAATATAAACAGTCAGTCAGAGTGGTTTGATATGAAATGGTTCATTATAAAAAAATTCACAGACTAGTTTTTTTTTTTTTTTCTGTGGTGCTGATAGGAACCGAGGGTCACAATAACTGCAGCACAAACATAGCCACTTTATTTACTATCCCATATCACCAGTGAATGTGTCTTCTGAGTTTCATATGTAATGTTGATGAATGTAATATAGTCATAAATCTGAACAAGTTTTCTTTTTACCTCACAAAGCCTTGCATGTACCTCTCTGCCATGAATAGATTTAAATAAATTGATTACAATACATTTTATGCCTAAAAGTATATCACAAAACTCCCATAAAATACTGTGTCAGGCTTCAAACAGCATATATCTAACCACTTAATTCAAATAACTTTCTGTGAGGGAGCTTTCAGAGGCATTAAAGTATTCAGATATCTGGTTCCCATCAGCACCACTGTAAACAATTCTGATTCAACAAGTGTCTCTAGAAAGGAGCATTTCACACCAAACCAATGAATGACTTTGTTTACATCTCAACCATTTAATTATGTAGAATTTTGAAAACATCGGTGGAGTTCCCCTTTTTAATGACGTAACGCAGTTAATGATGCAAGTTAGCCATGTAGAAAACGTTACACAAGTTGAAAAAATATATAAACAATATGGTTCTTTAGGGACTCTATTTACAACCATGAGTTCCATATAGAACCATTTCATGCTTAAATGGTTCTTCAGGTTGATGGAGAATGTGTTGAATGTAGTTCTATATAGAACCTTTTTGAAAATGGTTCTATATAGCACCAAAAGGGGTTCTGCTATTGTTACAATGTCAAGCTAGTAACAACCACACTTTTTGGTGCTGTATAGAACAGTACGTACAACACATCCTCCATCAATCTGAAGAACCATCTCACCATGCAAAGAACTATTTAAGCATAAAATGGTTCCATGGCTATGGAACCTAAGAACCATCTTGTGTGTAGCTAGTTTGCTCTTGCTTAAAAGTGAAGCAGTTAAATAGCTAGTCAGGAATTAGTTATTTCGCTAACGTTAACTGACACCAGCAATACCGTTAGCTATCTAACGCTAGCTTTCTGACCAACGCAGCTAGGTTAGCTAGTTAACTTGATAAAGGATATTCTGTAGCCGTTTGAGCAGCAACGTCTTTCCCACGCCGGTTGCACCCAGTAATAAACACATAACTGCTATTATCAAGCTCGCGGTTTTCTAATAATTAATAAAAACGGATAAAATGTTTGAGATATAAGAAGACAATCACCAGCGTTAGCTATCCTTCCTAAATTAGCTAGCGAGCTACAAATACACTTTCCACTGCCTCCTCGGTCACCACGGCGACGCATCCTGTCAAAATAAAAGTCTCTGCTTATGCGTACGGTCTGGAGATGACTATGATTTGTACACACACACACTTTCTAAGCCGCTTATCCATCTTGGTCGCCGGGGGCGGGGGTGAGCTGGAGCCTATCCCAGCGGTCATTGGGCGGAAAACAGAAACTATGATTAACTATGATTGGTTAAACTAACGTTAACTCTTTGGCGTTAACTTCATACCACAGAACTTGTAGAGAGGAGAATTTCCACTCTGCAATATCTTCCGGTTTTCTCAAACGCTAGAGGGCGCTCCCGAGTGAGTCCAAAAAGAATGGGTTGATATGGAGCATTTGAGCAAAATCATAGTTTATAAATGCTTAAACATTTTTAATGTAAAAGAATGAAATCGTTTCCTGAACACTGAATATCATAAACATTTTAACACCGCTGTTATGTTTTTAAGAGCCTTTAAACTCGAGTTATAGGAGTTTATAGGAATTTTAACTTTTCGTTTTTAGCCGTTGAGCGCCATTTACTCCCATTCATTGAGGACTCACTCGCGGGCGCCCTCTGCTGTTTGGCAGTCCTGTTTTTGATATAACGGGAGGAATAGGGAGTGGCCAGGCTCCTCATAAACCGCCTAAATGTGCAGCTTTAAATGGATGCCTTTAGCATTTAACTTGAAATAAATACTTAAGATGTTTTATGTAAGTAAAAGCTAAAACAAACAACTGCAACTTTTGAAGCAACTGTTTTGATTTAAATGTACTTTTTATATGATTGTAGTATGTTTTAGTTATAGTTTTACATTGACTGTTGTTTTATTTATTATCAAGCAATACCGTTTAATCATTGCTTATTGTTTCACTTTTTCCACTCTTTTATGTCTTTTATTATCAATGTTTTTATTTTATCCCTGTTTGTTTCGTCACTTGTGTTGTTTTATTTTTGCATCGGTTTATTATGATTTGATTTTTTATTCTTAAATTTTACTATTATGATTATTATTGTTATTGTTTTATATTGTATTATCATGTTGTTGTTTTTGTTTGTTTGTTTCGTTTTTTTCTTTAATAAGTTTTTATCACAGCATTTTTTGTGTTTTGAATTTTTTTCACTACTCCTTTAATCCCTGATTCCCCTACAGGCTCAGCTTCACTGTGAATGGGGGTCTCTCCCAGTGTACTCAGAGTTTAAATAAAGGCTCAGGTTGACTGAAAAAAACAAACAAAAACAAGAACTCTGTGCTAGTCTAAACTGGTTTGTGCGAGTCTGGTGTTGGCTTGATGCCGGTTTAGCTGGACCAACGTTCAATCCAAACATAGCGCATGCTGGTCCTGCAGGTGTCCAGACCAGCTGTGTTGTTTTGATAGCAGGCTGGCCGCTGTTATCTCGCTCTGTCACTGCCGCTCTCAGAGAAATATAGAAGCGCCGTTATGAGCTGAGCAGCGTTTGCTGTTGCGCAAAACAATCAGCAACGGTCGACAACCTTTCCAGCAGTTCCGTTTCATGCTTAAGTAAAGCTGCTTCCTGCTTCATAACGGACAGCACAGTTTGTGGCACAGCTCCGTTTTCTGGACTAAATGGCTTTAAACCGCTGAGATAACGTTTCCACTCACGCAGCCACCCTTCATGTTTCACCGCTCGCTGTAGTTTGTTAAGGAACTACCAAATTGACAAGAAAACCCGCCAGCAGAGCTACGACCTCCTCTACTCAGTCAGGACTGATTCAACCAACTTCCCACGGTAAGAGTTTATTGTGGATGTTCGTTCCTTTAGATACTGGTCAGAACCTAAAGAGGAAAAAATAGGAAAGAAATAAAAAAACTGCCCACCACATTTCCTGTGTGGCCAGAGAACTTGTAAACGGGCGGTGAAGTGACGAGCAGGAAGTCCGGATCCGCACTGAAATTAGGGCCTTAAAACGATGAAATTATTCATAAAAATTAATTTAAAAAGTCTGTATCTGTGTGCTATGATATCTCAGTATGGACCTAAAATTATGTATATGTATAAAATTATGTTTGATAGCCTATAGGATTGAACCAGCATTTGGTATTTTGTCATAAATATACTTTTTTTTGCATTGAATGCAGTGTTGAACGTACCAAATGTTCTGAACCTGTTTAGTTTTATATATTATTTTTCACGCACACACTTATGATGTTATACAACCCCAGTTCAGGAAAGGTTGGGCCGTTATGTCAAGATGAAAACTGAAAGCAGAGTGGTTTGTAAATTATTTTCGACCTGTATTGCATTGAAAACTGTACAGCAGCACATCATTTTCAAAATAAACACATTTCAATTTTAATTCTTTCAACATATTTCAAAAAAAGCTGGGAGAGGAAAGCAACACTTTGTGTTGTTGTCATTTCTTTTCATAACACTTAAAAGGCATTCAGGGCCTGAAGACAGGTCCCATTCTTCCTGCAAGAAAGTTTTAAGGTTTGCAACAGTGTGGGGTCTTCATTGACACATTTTGCGCTTTAAAATGCTCCACACATTCTATACTGGGGACAGTTCAGGACTGCAGACAGGCCAGTCCAGGACTATCTTCTAATGCAGCCATGCCTTTGTAATGTGTGCAGAATGTGGTTTTGCACCGTCTTGTTTAAATCTGCATGGACCTCTCTAAAGAAGGCGTCATCTTGAGGGCAACATATGTTGCTTCAAAATCTCTATGTACTTTTCAGCATTAATAGTGCCATCACAGAAGTGGAAGTTACCTTTGCCAAGGGCACCGACACAACCCTATACCCTATACCTATACTTTTGGACTTGTTGCTGGTAACAGTTTTGATGGACCTTTTAATCTTTGGTCCAGAGCACACGGCGTCCATTTCTTCCAAAAAAGACACTGATTTGTCTGAACACAGTACATGTTTCTACAGTGTGATGGTCCATCCCAGATGCCTTCCGAGTCCAGAGAAGTGGATGGTGCTTCTGGATACAATTAACATGAGGCTTCCTTCTGATCCAGTAAAGTTTTAACTGGCATTTGTGGATGTATCTACATATTGTAGTGCTTGACAAATGTTTGCAAAAGCAATCTTGAGCCCATGTGGTTGTATCGCTTATAGATGAATGATGGTTCCTTATGCAGTGCTGTCTGAGGGATCGGAGAGCACAGATGGCACTGCTCCTTTGGCCTGTCTTTGCTCCTAAAGGACTAGGCCTTTCCTGGATGCTGCTTTTGTACCGAGGCATGATTACAATAACCTGTTGGCATCATCTGCTTCAGATCATGACATTATTGAATTATTTTACCTCATTACTATCCCTAATTTGCTCTGTACCAACTTTTTTGGATTGTGTTGCAGGCCTGAATGGCAGGAATGGATATATATTTACAAATGAAATGTAGTTGACCAAACAAAACGTGAAATATCTTGTGTTCATACATTTTTCTGATTGGGGTTGTATATCCTTTCTCTACCTGTAATACCACCTGGTCTAGTGTTTTTATCTTTTCTTGATCTAACATGTGATTCGCACCCAAAAAGGACTTGATTATCAGCTAAAAGTGTGACTCAGGAGCAGAGCAAAAATGAAATTACGCAATTCTGCTAAACTGCTTACTTTACATACATGGTACTGCAGAACACTGACTTAGTTCATTTAAGTAATAACAAATTCATTACAAATAAAAACATCTTTGCGTATTAATTATAAAAGTTCTATCAAAACACTTTATATCAGTACTTCAGGTACACAGTGTAATGAAAAGTAGAGTGTACAGTGTTTAATGTCCAGTCAAAAAGGCCATTACTTCTACTACAAAAAGTACAGAATTTTATTTTTTTCTACATAACATTATTCTATAATTACAGACTGTAGTCCATCTGTTTCTCTGCATACTTTGTTCATCTCATTTTACCCTGTTCTTCAGTGGTACAGAGCAGGTATTATTTGGATGGTGATTCATTCTCAGCTCTGCAGTGATGCCGACGTGGTGGTGGCGTGTCAGTGTGTGTTGTGCTGGTACAAGTGAATCAGACACAGCAGTGCTGCTGGAGTTTTTAAACACTGTGTCCACTCACTGTCCATTCTCACCTTGTTTGTCCATCTTGTAGATGTTCAGTCAGAGACAGTAGCTCATCTGCTGCCGCACAGTTTGTGTTGGACATCCTCTAGTCCTTCATCAGTCATCACAGGATGCTGCCCACAGGACGCTGTTGGCTGGATATTTTTGGTTGGTGGACTATTCTCAGTCCAGCAGTGACACTGAGGTGTTTAAAAACTCTGTCTGATCCACTTGTACCAGCACAACACACACTAACATACCACCACCACGTCAGTGTTACTGCAGTGCTGAGAATGACCCACCACCCAAATAATACCTGTTCTGTGGGGGGTCCTGAAGGGGTCCTGACCATTGAAGAACAGGGTGAAAAGGGGCTAACAAAGTATGCAGAGAAACAGATGGACTACAGTCTGTAATCGTAGAACTACAAAATGCACCTGTTTGGAGAGAATGTTAAAATGGAGAATGGGTGTGGACGCAAGGAGGTGTACTTAATGAAGTGGCTGGTCAGTGTATATGGCCAAAATTATATGTACACCTGACCATCACACCAGTATAAACTTGTTGGACACCCCATTCCAGAATCATGGGCATTAATGTGGAGTTCCCCCTCTTTGCAACTATAACAGCCTTTTCTGGGGAGGCTATTTACAAGATTTTGGTTCTGACCATTCAGGCAAGGTCAGGCATTGATGTTGGAGCTCGCTTTGTGCACAGTCAACAGGAAACAGGAAAGGGCCTTCTTAAACTTTTGCCCCAAAGTTGCAAGCATTTCATTCTCTAAAATGTCTTCATATGCTGTAGCATTAACATTACCCTTCACTGGAACTAAACTCAATAATTAGGAGGATAGGCCTGGTAGACCACCAAAATTATCACCATCAGATAAACAGCACTTAAAACTTTCATCTTTGAGAGAGAGGAGAAAATCAGCAAATCAAAAAAATCCAAAAGTGTTTCTGTCCGTTACTCCAAACAATGAGGCTGCTGGTGTTCTCAGAACAATGGACAGACCACCCCAGGCTCCAAACCGCAACATCATGGAATGTGTTTACTTAGCTCATAAGAAACATGCAACCAACTTCTAAGACTCAACTTTGCAGGTGTGGAAAAATATCCCTGCAGATTTCTTTGAGAAACTGAAAGCGAATCTCCTGAAAAGAATGGAAGCTATAATAAAGGCAAAGGATGGAAACACTAAATACTGAAAAAACTGATACTATGTTTAGTTTTTGAGGCTTCTGTGTAATTTCCGGTAAATATACGTTTTCATTGAAAATTAACAACTGATTGGTTGTTTTTACTGGGAATTAAATACAGGATACTTTTGCTGTACTGTATAAGTTCCTTTAACCAGCAGTATCAGCCTCATGCTTCATATCTTATAACCTCATTGGCTTTCAGTAAATCCTAGCATATTTTAGAATTTATTTTGCAGAATATAATGTATATACCCAATATTTTCTCAACAGGATAAAGAAGAAGATCAACACAGAAGACAGGATCAAAGATGGTTAGATGTATTGTTATAGTCTTGATTTGTTCTTTAGCAGTAAACCTTTATTTGCTTATTTATTTGAAATTTGATTCCACCTTTAAAAATCCAACATCATCCACAGAGCCTGCAAAACCCAAACATCTGTCGCAAAATGACACAATCATTCTCATCTGGTTTTGGCCATTTAATAAACGTTTTGAGCTGAAATCTTGCTGCTCTAAATTTCAAATAGAAGGTTGTCACTTAACTGACGACAGAGCCCTGTATAAGAAGGCACACGGTGTCCTTATACATCACAGGGACATTAGAAGTGACCTGTCAAATCTGCCCTCTGAACCTCGTCCATATTTCCAGAAATGGGTGTGGATGCATTTTGAGTCCCCCAAAAACACCCCCAGAATAGCAGGCCTGGAAAACTTATTCAACGTAACTATGAACTACAGACGGGATGCAGACATTTCAATTCACGAGCAAATGATTCTAAAAACCGAAGATACTAAAGATGAAATATTCCCTGAGGTTTTAAAGAAGAAGAATAAACTGGTCTGCTGGATTATCAGCAACTGGAACGAGGAGCATGACAGGGTGAAATATTACAACGAACTAAAAAAGCACATCCACATTGAACTGTATGGACGCCGATTTGGACGTGCACTGAGCCAAGAAGGATACAACAATGTGCTCACAGAATGTAAGTTCTATTTGTCATTTGAGAACACAAAATACATAGACTATATGACGGAAAAGCTCTACAATCCTCTCACGAAGGGCTCCGTCCCAGTGGTTCTCGGACCTCCCAAATTCATCTATGAACGGCTATTACCCAGCGATTCATTCATCCATGTGGATGATTTTAAAACCCATAAAGAACTGGCTGATTATCTACTTTCACTGGACAAAAATGAGGATCAGTACAAGAAGTTTTTTCAATGGCGAGAAAAATACAAAGTAAAACATGTTGATTTTCCCAGAGAGCACGCATGCCTTGCATGCCATTACATTCGTAACAGAAATGACTACCAGGTTTTTACAAACCTTAATAAATGGTACTGGGACTTAGGTCACTAAGTATGTTTTGACTGGACTTTCAAGGGACATCATGAGTGAAATTGCTGGTTTGTACCCATTGAGACCAGCTACTGGGATTTCTGTGGAACAGGATTAACCTTTGTAGTTTTGAAACAAGATGGAAAGGTGGCAAATGCGAGGGAAAAAAGTTGAAAAAAGTTGAAAATGTCTGTAGCACCTTAAGAGCACCTCTGGGGACACTGGCTGGACCTGCAAGGTGACCTTTCTCAGCGTCTTATACACTTCTGTGATGAACAGAGCGCCTGGTCCTCCCCTCCAGGAACAGCTTTCAGCAGTCTCGAGTGTTCAGTGTTCAGAGCCTCACATCAAGCATACAGTTGGTGTCCCTGAAGTTCTGGTTCCTATAGTGTGAAACGTGCAAGGCCTTTCCACATTAGTCTGGGATCATTTGTGGTTTAATATATCTCCAGTTTTTGTCTGTACTGCTTTTTGGCATTTTTTATGCTTTTGTGGACATCATACCTCACTTTTTCAAAGAGTCAGCACTGCCAGATTTAAATGCCATACAGTGGCCTGTAAGCTGAGCCAGACTCGTGCGTTAAACCAGGGTTTCTGATTGGCGTAGATGAGAATATCTTTCTAGGGTACAGGGTCTGTTAAGAACCATGAATATTAAAAGAACGCTTTGCATGATTAAAGGGAAAATGGTGTTCCAAAAAGTGTTCCATTATTGTTACAAGCCAAAGAAGCCTTTTTTTTGGTACTATATAGAACCCTTTTTGCTAAGAGTGTAGAATTTTCCTTTAGGAGTGACAGAAGATGTTTAGTAAATTTGATTTGTGTTAAAAAGCTCTTTGTTTATTATTATGATATGAAAGTTACTCTGAAAATGAGTTCATATTTTAGGAGCTGTTCATGCAGAAGGCCAGGTAGTTCCAAGAGTTCTGACACTTTTCACAGAAATGTTCGGTGGCTTTGTCTATTTTTCCAAAACTCACCTGAAGGTCCAGTATACTGGACACTGAATATTTAAAGTTTCCCAGTAAACAAACAAATAAACAAATAAACAAACAAACAAAAAAAACAGTTTTATTTAGTGCAGAGCAGGAAACTTGTTTCAAAATAAAACACTTTGTTTGAAAGCGTCCAGTTCTGTTACTGAGGAGGGTATACTTTTAACAGTATTTTAGATGAAATTTATAAATTTTCCTGCAGACTCGTATTGTAGACTCTTCACACACTTTGAATTCTGCCTCAGATGATGATGTCACAGTGTCCTTGAAGCTGATTGGCTGTGCTTGTGTAACAGAGCTAAAACAAAAAGAAAAGAATTAATAATAATAATTGTAGTTCTTAGTTGTGTGAATTCTTCCAAAATTATTGTTCATAAGAAATCATTTTTGTTATATATTTCTTGTTACTTTGAGCTAAATTGTTGTTTTATATTTCATTTTTCAAAAAATACTGATTCTTGCTATGTTAATAACGCATACAAGTTCAATGTGCTAGTTTGGACTACAATTCCCTGCTGACATGTGCGCAACTGCCAAAGCTCGCGTTTTCTGTTAACTTTGTCCCTTCGCGCTTCCCTTACCCCCAGCAGCGCTTTATACTTTGCTAGGGGTCAATTGTGTAGCAAAAGCTCTGTGAATAATCTCATATTTTAGGAAGCTATATGTACTTCTGAGATGAATGTTAGCAAGCATCATCTGTAATAACAGTCATAGCGCTTATGTGCTGCGTTTTGGACAAGTATTAGCGCATATTTAACCGAATTTAATACTTTAATTCCCGACGGAATTACTGGCGGGGTTCTATGCAGACGGCATCGGTTTTTGGCGCCAGTTGGGGAATGAGCTAGAAAATGTGCTTAAACTTCCGTTTTCCTTTCCTTTTCTCACTTTTGTAGAGCTATGGCTGCCTCCATTTTTTTGTCTGATTTTTGTTTTTTGTTTTGTTTTTTTTTTGTTTTTCAACTTTGTTGCTTATCTTTTTTTATACATCTTTTTATACATCTGCATTTTTTTTATCATGTCTCTTAAGGTAGTTTATTTCAGGTTTTTTTTTATTGCAGACTGGGCTTTGATAACATGCTAAACTTCTGAACATTTGAAATCATGTCTACAGGTTATTTATAATTGTCTGTCGACAATGTGTTCATCCCTTTAATCTATAACTTTTGAAGACCTGCTGGCCGAGAGAGATTGTTTTTGGAGGAGGTAGTTATGACATTTGTCCACTAGATGTCATGAGATACTGTAACTCTCCAACATACTACTGTTCTGCCTACATTTAAAAAAAAATGGTAATGTAAGCACTGTATTTCACTATATATGTTTATAAGCACTAGATATTTTTCATTTCTATGCTCTTGTAATGCTGAAAGATGATTTTTCTATTTAATTTTTACAGTCGTTCAATTTGAATTACAATTCTTTGTGATGTCTTCTTATTTTTTGGGGCTTTGCCATCAGAGAAATTACTGATGGTTGTCTTTCATACATTTCCAGATTATTGAGTTTCACCATGCCTAGTTGAGAGTAAATGACCCAGCAACATTTCCAGCTGTCCAGTATAGCTGGGACTAAGGAACTGAAAATTGTGGGTTTTCAAATTTAAATCTAATTTACTCTTAGTCCAAGACCACAAGGGAAGACAAGGCTCAAATACTTGGAGCAGTCCACTTCAGATGAACAACTAGCAAGTGAAAATATTTTAGATCAATATATCTAATATATCTTATTATGGGATTGCTGTAAAAATATTGAGATTATCAAATTTTTCAACGATTATAGACGTTTCCTTATTTTGTCATTTTGTCTTATGAAATCTTATGTGTCTTATTCCATTGGCTGACAGTTTTGCTTGTTTCAAGCATTATTTAATAAGCACAATGATCTGAATTATTTCTCAAAAAGACTTGTAAAATTATCTGCCAGCGGAGTCAATTTCACGAAATAAAATTATTTAAACCACTTAAAAATGTATATAAGTAGGTTAAATAATCTTATAATATTCTTACATATTATATTATATATACTGTCTAGATGTAAGCTGTTTTGGCTTCCTAAGATGTCATTGTTTGCAGTGTTGAATATGTTGCTGCTGTCAGAACAAAATCTCATATCTCAAAAATGAGAACTTTACAGGAGAAAGAAAAAATGTATTTTATTTTTAATGTAAGTCAATGGAATCAGACTTTTTTCCCAAAAAGTCATTTTGGGCCTTTTCTTTTGGTCCATTCATCATGTAATCTACACACAATGTAAAGGGCAACAGGCATTTTTAAATTATGCCAAAAGCTGAAAAACAACACAGATGGAGATACAAGGCTTTGTTCTGCAGTGATGTGACTAAATAAATGAAGTAAATAAAGAAATGTCCTCAGGGCCCTCGAGTTTTGTATTATTATTGGGATGTCTTGAGATTTTGTTGTTGCCATTCAGATGGAATATTTTAGAGATGTGATATTATTAGACTCCTGTTTTTGCATTATTACTCAGTTTGGGTTTAAAGAACAAAAGGAGAACTTGAGATTCAAATTTTTGCACATTATTTCACAAAGCTAAGTTAGTGCACACATATTTATTTGAACATTATTGAAAGTGAATACTTTTACTCAATTACATTTCCAAGAGATAAAAACATGCTTTGTGTATTACTTACATTTTCATTTAGAGCTTTATAGTACTCTGCACAAAATTAAACCCTTACAGAGAAGTCATGAAACCTTTTTTTTTTTTGCAAATGTCACGTTACAACTTGTAAACACAGTTTTTGTATATATATATATATATATATATATATATATATATATATATATATATATATATATATATTTAACACAAATATGACCTTTTTGGAGGGGAAAAAGTCAGATGTATTTATTTCTCACAACTGCTGGAAAAAAACCTCAGCTTGTCCAGTTTATGCTAGTAGATAATACTACTTATCTGGTGGAACAACACAAGGTTTTCGGTTTCACTGTTCTTGCATGACCTGCTTGACCTAGCAGTAGATTATATGTTTCGCAGAATATAATGCACAATCTTTTCTCAACAGGTTAAGGAATTTCAGCACACAAGAACAGACAAGTAATGCCTTAATTGGTCAATGTGCTTTTTATGTGTTCTGTTGCACTAAATCTGTTTTTGCTGGAGCTACACAGAAGGAAATGTTATCCCACCTTTGAAAATCCAGTACCCTCTACGGATACTGGAGAAACCAAATCTCATCTGTGGCAAAACAACATAATAACCATTCTCATTTGGTTTTTGGCCATTTGTTAAGCTTTTTGACCTGAGCTCTTGCAGCTCTGAATTTCTAATAGTACGCTGTTACTTAACGGACGACAGAGCTCGCTATAAGAAGGCGTACTGTGACATATAATTTGAACATTATTGAACACTGAATTGAAATGAATTGAGTTTTGTTAAATTACATTTTTTAAAAAAAGCAAAGACTGATTCCTGAAAGTTTAATATTAACATCAGGCTTTGTTATAATTTTGTTCACATTTACTATTTGTTATTGTCAAAAATCACATACTTTAAAGTATCGGTATTAGGATACAGGTATTACTTGATATCGGACCAAATGGAAAATCAGTGGTGTCGCCAATCCCTAATAATAACTATAATAATAGGTATGGACGCAATTTGAGTCCCCCTGAAAACACTGCAATGAGGAGCATGACAGGGTGAAATATTACAAAGAACTAAGCAAACACCATTTCATGAATTGACCCATGAAGAATAAAATAATAATAAAATAAGTAATAACAATAAAACAAGCTGATTTTCACAAAGAGCATGCATGCTTTGCATGCTTCATAGTACCTACTTTGACATTCCTTTTTCTTTTCTGACAGTTATATTGTAAGAAAATAAATATGTAGTTATATTTGTCATAGAATGTGGTAATTTGAAACACACAGGCAGTGCTATATAGTGTTATATATTGTTGCAATCCAAAAAACTACAAACCAAACTGAAACAAAAGCATTTTTATCCAGTTTTATTTTTCTACATCATTTCAACATGGCAGCTGTCCTTTACATCTTGTGAAAAAAAATCATGATGAATAAATAAACAGAAATGCTCCATTTGGACTAAAACCTCTTACATAGAAATTGAAGAACATTTGTACCTTTCCCTATAAATTTGCTTTTTTGGTGATACATGTTTTGTTTGGACAGTGACAATATGTTTGGCATTCCTTTAATTTATATACATTTATATTAAGGCCTTTTTTAAAATATGAGAAGACAAGCACAAAAATAAATGTAAAAATGCTACATCTAACTGCTAACCAGTCATCATAAGTGGCCAGATGCAGTAGTGGTGCACAAGTCACTCATTTTTGTGGCCAGTATAGCCAAATGGCTGATGGCTGATTTTTATTAGCCAAAGTTTTTTGTTTGTTTGGTTGTTTATCTATGAATCAACAAGCAGCAAGAACAAAAAAGATGTTTTTACCCAAAGCCCACATTTCGCACACTGGTATGAATCACATGGGCCTAATCTGTGCCATAGTCATGGCACAGATCGGTTGAAATAATTTAAATAAATCGTCTAATTCTACAGGATGATCTACTGACTAAGATGGTTGCTGTCAAAATTCATAGCATCTGTGGCTAAAAGACAACAACCAGTAACCCTAACCCCACCCCTAAAACTGCACTGTGTAGTAACAAGAAGTGTATTAAATTCATTATTTATTTAAATCACAAAATAAAATAGTCAATACAAACACATTATCTAAGCTGCTTATGCTCCTGGGTTGTCGGGGGTGCTGGAGCCTATCCCAGTGGCCCGGCAGATGTCAGGAAACACCCTGGACAGGCCGCCAGTCCATCACAGGGCAGACACACAGACAAACAGTCAATACTCGATTGTTAAATTAAAGTGCAACCTGAGGCATGATGATAACTTCTTCCTTTGAACAACAGTGAATGGAAAAATAGCCTTTGTCCACGTCATCAAAAAAGAAATAAAACTAAGCAGACATTAGTTTTCTAACATTAAATTCCTTTACAGGAGGATGTTGGCATTGGGCCTCATTCACCAACCGTTCTCAAAAAAAAATTCTTCTTAAAATCCACTTATGCAGTTTTCCTGAGCTGTGTATGAGTGTAAGTGTGTGTGAGAAAGAGCCCATCATTACTATAACATACTATAAAACCAATGTGACAATCATGTGACAATCAGTTATTAATCTGAGTGTCACTGAACTCTGCTAAAGCCTGAGTAGACCAATAAACTAATAAAACGATCAGTTAATAATCTGAGTGTTATCAAGCTCTGCTAAAGCCTAAGTAGACTGATAAACTAATATGACAATCAGTTATTAAACTTAAATCAGTTATTAAAAATGAGCATTTCATAAAAGAGTGCGGTTTCTGTGCTAGGAGGAAGTGGCTATGGCTTAGTTTCTGGTGTAGGTTAAGTTTAAATGCTTTATAAAGACTGAAGTTGGAGGACGAAAAGGGAAGACAAGAGAGGTAGAGAAGCAGAGACACACTGAAAAGTGACATGACAGTCACCACTGTTCATCCATCCTGATAAGACCTATCTAAAGACAGGCAGATCAAATTACATAAATTGTTGATTTTCAAGTGAAAATAAGCCCCTGTCTACTATTATCTGCTATCTTCTTTTGAACTGTTATCTACAGCTATTGTGATGTTTTCACTATGAATGCTGTTGATCTTTGAGAGATTTTCGCAGTTGAGAGATTTTGTTATTCACTTTTCTTCAGTTTGATTTGAGTTGGGTGGGACTAAATCTGGCGCAGGTGACGTCAAATCTGCCAAAGTTCCAATCAAAGTTATTAATATGTGCACAACAGTTGCTCATGTTCCTCTTGTGCGACTGCTCTCCTGTGCTCCAAGCCCCAGACAAAACTGCGACGTCAAATCTGCCAAAGTCTGCCGTAGGTTATTTAAGCTTGTTCTAAATATTCGTATCATAGCTAGACACTTGTGTTAGCCACTTGTTGCTGGATTTTACTATAAGCAATCTTCTTTTATGAGAGTGTGATAGATAGTTGTCCATCTTAAATGTAAGAATGAAAAGCTAATATGTAAACTACTCCCTTAAAGGCTCACAGTATTTCCCTCAATTTGTACTTTACAGGCATGGCACATAATAAGGTACACAAAAAAATTCTCCACTGTGTCCACTGATATGACTGTGCCGACTACTAATAGGAGCTTGTGTGAACTTAGAAGCACAGACTAGCAGTTATCTAGCTATAGGTTATGTATATAATGTTAGTACCGTTGAACTTACAAATATCAGCCACAATATGTCTGTAATGTACCTGTCGGCAAAATGTAATCAGATCTCTAAAATGACCGTTAGACATCTGTTCCCCATTTTGCACTTTTTACTCATCATTCAGAGAGTGCTCAAGAAGAGCGCTCCAGACCTCGGCTTGACCTCCACTGTTTCTGTTCGCTGTCATTTCGTAATCACATTACGAACTGAGGCTATGTTCAGGAGAGATGGGGGTGCATCATCTCAGCCTCCAAACTGGCATAAGCATGAATCTTTGGTGCTCTTTTTGAATCCCAGCACTTCCATCACTCTGGATTTAACACTGTCGTTGTTTGTCTTGTTGCGAGTGACGCAAAAGATACTTTGAAATCTGATTAAAGCGGCCAAAGCTTCCAGACTGATACATATCTGTAAAATCACCTCCAAATTGGTTTGGAACCGACTGGCAAAAATTGGATTTCATGCGTTTTTGTCCAGACTTTGAAAAATCAATCTGGATACAATCTGGACATGCCACAGATCAGATTTGAGCTGTCATTCTGAACCAGGCCTTGAGCATGAGAATCTTAAGATCTCATGGTTCTGATCCTTGGAGACTCATAAGGAGAAGTTCTACAAATAACCTTTCTTTGAATAGGTTCAGTAACAATTTAGTGTCCTTTGGGCTCTTTAAAAGAACCATTTATTGAAAACTTCTTAATCAAATTAATGGTCCTTCATTGGCATCACACTCAAGAAACCTCTTGGCTGGTCCCTTCATGTTTAAGAGAATAGTAGGGAGAAATAAGTAGTGTCATTAATGGCCAACCATATTAAAGACCTTATGGTCAATATGGTGAAGTGTTAAGCTATTGACTAGAAATGACGTAACCCTGCTCTGGGCATACTGTTCAGTTATTAATCTTAAGACTTATTAGTTAGTAACTGTAAATCACATGT